CTCCTCCGGACAGCCTTTGAACCCAAGGTGGCAAAACTGATTCTTGCCAGAATTTCCAGCCTGCCAGACAGCCTTTCAGATTTCAGACTTGCCAGTTCCCAAAATTGTGTGAACTAAGTTCCTTAAAGTACATCAATCTCAATCTCTCTCATGTGTATGTAAAGAACTTGTAAGCATATATGCATAACCCATCGACACAGATAACAGTGTGGTGAAGGCCTGGGGGTGGGTGGGTATGGGGGTCAATGGGGAAAAAGGGGGGCATTTGTAATACTTTTAACAATAAAGATACATTAAAAAAAACACCATTCTTTTGGTTCATTTTTCCTGGAAAACACTGACTAAGATACCTCCCTATGATTCCTAGCTTTCATATTCATGCCCTTGTCTAATCCTCTTCCCTTGAGTTTAGGTTGACCTAGTAACTGAACCCAGTAATTCGTTATTTCTAACAGAATATGGCAAAAGTGATTTCGGTGGTTTTTTTTTCCCACAGGAGTCAGACTATGAAGATTTGTGGCCAACTATTTTCTTTACCTACCAGACATTTGTTATTTAGTAACTTATGAGATTAGGCTATAAAAAACACTCTGCCTGCCACCTTGCTTTCTCCCTTGCTGGCTGTGATGGAAGCCAGCTGCCATGTTGTGAGTTGCCCTGTTTAGAGTCAACATCGCAAGGAAATGAGGGAGTCCTCTAGCCAACAGCCAGAGAAGAACTGAATCCTTTAACAGCCCAGTGAGTGATTTTGGAAGTGGCTCCCCCCTGTCCAGCCCCCAGATGAGTGATATACCAACCAAGAGTGAGACCACCAGCCACAATTAAGATGTGCCCAGATTCCTGACCCACAGGAAACAATAAGTAATTGTTGGTTTAAGCCACTAAATTGAGGGTAATTTGTTAGACAACAGATAACAAACACAGTGGATTTCCCCCTTTCATGTTCTCAAAGATCTCAAAAGCTGTCACTCAGCTAAGACAACTGGAAGTACTTACGGCAGGCGTGTGAGATGTAAGGACACACCAGAACAGTCCTTGTGATTATCTGAAACACACATAAAAAATACACATCTTAAATATGAAAACATGCAAAACAAATTTCAAAATAAAACATTTAAAAAGATTATAACTCAATACTAACAAAAACTACGTTTCATTTGTATGGTGCTTTACAATTTGCAGAGTATTTTCATATTCATGAATTCATTCAAACTATCATTTCAAGCATGTTGTGATTTTTTCTTGGCTTATCAAACTGACCAGTTATCTGCTCACCTGCAGACATACTAGATACTAGTAAGCTCACAGAAGGAAGCTGTTGCTACTCTCTGTGTTGAAATATCCAGAAAAGTTGTTCCACGGGACTCTAATCAGCTACTTTTTCTTCTTTAAAAAAATAGAAACCAC